AAAAAAAAAAGATTGATGTTTAAATTTAGAGTTTTAAAAAAATATATAATATTTTTATTACATTTTATTTTCATATTCATTCACATTTTTTTAAAGTTTGCATTCTTGCATCAATTTTTTCTATTCTTTAACTCACTTTTTCATTCAAACATTTTTACATAATTTATAACCAGTTGTAGTCTTAAGTGTTTGTCCTCATAAATATTTGTGTTTGTTGTCAAAACGAATAATGCAAGTAATTATATTAAGTAAATAATTAATATGATTTTTATATTTAAATTGACTATTATGCTTATTAAAATTTCATTCATATGCATTGATAGTTTAAAAATGTGAATGAATATGAACATAAAATGTAATAATTAAATATTATATTATTTTTTTAAACTATAACTTTAAACACCAATCTTTTTTTTTTAACTCTAAATTTAATGGTGTTATGAGTTTTGTTAATTCTAGACGTAATTTGATAGTTTTATTACATTTAAGTCCCGCATTGATAGTTTTATAACATTTAAGTCTCGAATTGAGAAAAAAAATCTTTCAGGCCCGCATTGATAGTTTACCTATCTTTCGGGCCTTGTATTGATAAAACTCCTAGTTTTTAAACTCGGTAATCGACTCGTGCAGGTCTCGGGGTCATCGAGTCACCGGTTCAACCGTCGGGTTACCGGGCCAATTGCTGAACCGGATAATTAATTTTAAATTTTTTAAAAGTATATATAGAGTATTTTTGTCATATAAATATACATAAAAGTAATAAAATTAAATATTTTGACTATAAAATTTGTACATTAAAGTGTTAATATTATGTATCTCACGATAATATTACCATATAAACATATATACATAGTTTTATTTTGAAAAAAAAAAATAGAAAAAAAATTAAAAAAAAAACATATATATGGGCCGGTTGACCCGGGCGAGTCAATAAACCGGGTAGGCCGGGTTTTGACCGGGTCCTTTGTTGCACTGTCTAAAAGCCCACCCAAACCGGTTACAACTCTGTGTCGCCCGGGTCCCGGGTCGACCCGTCGGGTCGATCCGGATCAAAAAACTATAAATTTACACAACAAGATAAAAAATAAAAATAAAAAGTATTAATGTTTATAAATTGTTAATTTATGGTTGTTATGTCATAGATTTTTAAATTGAATTATTGTTTTTTTTTTATAATGAATTTATAGTTTGATTTTGACCTAGTATTCGATCTTGTGCACATTCACAAATGTGTGTGTATATATATATGTGTGTGTGTGTGTGTGTGTGTACACTACAAAAAAAACTCTTACATTCCAATGAAAATTTTTCGTTGGAATTTTTTATATTTCCGTTGGAATAGCTATTCCAACGGATATTCCTACGTATAAAAATCCGTTGGAAAAACGTCCGTTGGAATAGCAAATATCCAACGGAAAATCCTATGGAAATAAATTCCTACAGCTATTCCAACGGAAAAAATCCGTTGGAATTCCTCAACTATCCAACACTTATTCCAACATAAAATTAAGTTTGTTGGAATATTCATTGGAATTTCCAACTAAAATTTTTGCCGTTGGAATTTTTCGTTGGAATTGTAGTGTTTTTTTATAGTGGTAATATTTTAAATCATAAATTGGATTATGAGCATATCATATTTTATAAATTTTATTGTTAGTAATAATGAATTATATAATACAAACTATTCATCTTACATATAAATTGTTACATTGGTTGCAATAATTTAACTTTTACAATTTTGAGCGATTATAGCAAACTAATTAGATGAAAACTATTATTATTATTATTATTATTATTATTATTATTATTACTAGTACAACACCCGTGTATTACACGGGCGCTTGCTAATTTTTTTCTTAAAATTTAAAATTAATGAGAAAAAGTAGTTTGAAAATTTAAATACCTTTTTATAAGAATATATATAGTACAACGCTCGTGTATTACACGGGTGCTTGTTAATAATTTTTTCCTTAAAATTTAAAATTAATGAGAAAAAGTAGGTGAAAATTTAAATAACTTTATAAAAATATATATATTAGTATATATTTAGTATGACACTTTTTATTTGTGTGACTTACTTGTGTTATATTATTTTAATTTATTTATATTATATACAATATGGATGTCAAATCGAAGATCATGAAAATATGATTAATTTGATATATTATATATGTAAAACCAATAAGCATTACAAAAGTTATCAACTTTTAAAATACATTTTTAATTCAATAGCTAATTGAAGGAAACAAATCAAAAGTCAGGGATATATTAGTCATTTAGTGTATCACTATGTAAAATTATAAAGAATTAAAAGGTTATATTAGTACAAGTGATATTAAAATACCTAAGTTAGCTAAATAATATTTATGGAATGTTCGAACCTAAATTATTAATTATTCATATATCAATATTATTTGTCCAAACCTAATTACGAAGCATGATTCTTCGCCAAGTAGGATTACGAAACACCAGAAGCAGCCACGTAGGCTCAGCGCATTCTGAAATTATATATAGAGGGGATTATTATTATTATTATTATTATTATTATTATTATTATTATTATTATTATTATTATTATTATTATTATTATTATTATTATTATTATTACTATAGAAATTATGTGCGCATTTCTAAGGGATTTCGCTATGCCATTAAACAATAATTAACTAATTTTAAAATATTTGCTCAATGAGCTGGAAAAAAATGATTTTGATTAATTAGTTTGAAAAAATAAGTTTTGTAATTGACTTTTGATATGTGTATAACTTTCATGTATTATTTAGTATGACTTTCTGATTAGTCTGTAGTAGCTATTATGTAATAAATCAAATAATGAATATTTACTAGATTAATGTAAAATGTAACGGTTTTTATAAAACTAACTAAAGAACATGAGAGGGAAGAAAAATACACTTGCATTGAATTCTTTGTCCCGCTTTATGTGTATTGGTTTTGCTCACCTGCCCACGTTGGGCAGTGCCCACCAAAAAATTTTACATGAAAAACGTATTTTGAGAATACGTTTTCAATTAAATTTAATTGAAAAACGTATTTTCAAAATACGTTTTTCATGTAAAATTTTTTGGTGGGCACTGCCCACCGTGGGCAGGGGATCAGATCTATTATGTGTATATAGATAATCATAATTTTACCAAAAAAAAAATTGTGGTAAACATGTAAAATGATCAGTCTTCGTTATAACAATATATAAAATAATGATGATAATAACAATTCATCTTAAGTTATATATATTATGAGAATATAATTTATTTTGAAATTAGTTGCTTTGTTATAACATCATTCGTTTATGATATTTAATAACTTATGAATAACATACTACAAAATATTAGATAATATGCTAAATATATCTGCTATGTAGTAACTCATGTTGGTATCGCGTAATTGTTCCAACTTTCAATTGCAAAATTAATATATTAATTTTAATTCGGTTTGGAGATTGAATTAGGTTAGTGTTCATGTTGATTACATTACTTTTAAGTTATGTTTAACATAGTTAAAAAATATGACACAACTGGAGTTGATTCTGGTGACCAAATTATGGTACATGATATAACCATATTATGATATACCGGTTCAAGTACTAACTGCTTGATCGGGTGACGAATCTGGTCGACATCCTCAAGTTGACTTCCTTAAAGACGACTCGTAGGCGACTCCTCTCGCGTACTACCTGAAGGAACCCCTATCGGCAAGTCAACGACTTGCTGACAATTTCTGCAAGTCGACTTCCACTAAGAAGACGAACGGGCGTAGCATTAAATCTCAGAATACACTCCCACACATGTCCTAAGTCGACCTACTGACGTTCGAAGTCGACTCTGCATGCCTCGAGGCCCAAAACGTTCTGATGACTCAAGACACATATAATATCCCTTAACGAGTCTCCTAAATGAAGGTGAATCTTTATTGGATGAGAAAGAATCTTAAGCTGACTAGGAGGTGAGAGAGGAATGCAAACCGACCATGGTTTCGGACACTTCAAGTAGATCGACTGGGGCATTTTGGGTACTTCGCGTAGGTATTTCCCTCTATATAAAGGGGCTGAGGTAATCTCAAACCCTAACTTTCATTCTCTCTATTCATTTCTTACTGCTGTTGCTCCCACCGAGCAGAGACCTCTTCATCCTCTCTATACTGACTTGAGCGTCGGAGGCTCTACGCCGGAAACACTTCCGACGCTGAGTTCTTGCAAGTTCTTGTGGCGGTCTAGCAGCGATTTGGAGGCGGTTAAAACAGATCGGAGCTCATAACCACTGGTTCACTCTAGATTTAGGAGAAGACCCATCAGGTCAGTTTGGCCAGACCAAATCAATTATTGAATAACAATTGTCACTTGAATGCGAACCGATAAGTACACAAACATCGTAACTATTTTTCACAATGCACTTATCACAATAGACTAGCACTTGGTCCTTAATCACATAGTTAATTAACACTAAGTAGATTGTATTTCACTTTACGTCATTTTATTTGGTACACTACCATTATTCAAACAATCACTGCCAATAACTTTGTTGCTAGCACCATCTCCAAATATGACTTTACCACTAGATCATGATTTTATATCCCACAAATAGGACAGTTCGCCAATCATATTGTCATATCCCATATAAACATATAAGTCAGTAAGTTAGTAATAATCAACAATAGCTTCCACAGAATAATTTATTTAAGATAAAGTTCAAGTTCAAGTAACGGTCCATTTTATTTAGCTAAATGGCCGTAAACTTGGTCATTCTTAGTTTGAATGAGATAAGTAAATGAGAACGAGACGAGTCAAGAATCGAGACGAGTCAAGAATCGAATCCAAGATTTCTTGAGAGAAAAATAAGAAACAAGACCTCGAGAGAAGTCGAGACAAGTTAGGTTTCTAGTACGGATAAGTATCCGTGAGCATTTAAGTTAAAAATGTGCAAAGAAGTGAGAAAGACCTATAGTATGGTCTAAGTAAGATAATATGGTTCAAGAGATAGTATGAATTTGCCAATTCATATAAACCAACGTTAGCCATAATCAGATGCTAATTATTTAGAGAGAAACCGAAATTTTAGAATTTTCAGTTTTACTATAACCGCTCGTTTCAAATCCGAATTCGGTTCCGTAAAGTTTATTTTTCTTAGTTTCTTAGCGTGTTCCAAGACCATATATGATCAATATTTTTCATTAATTTTTTTTAGAACTTTAGACATTTGAGTAGAGAAAGTCATGAGCAAATAATGATGAATTGTCATCATTTTATCTATTTTTTTCTTAGGATTTTTATATGATAATGGGTCATTTTCAATATGCTACAAGAGAGCTCTTTCTTCAGCATATTCACACCAACTTGTTCCTATTTGGTGAGAGTTTAGTGTGCCATCATAATCAAAGTTTTTTTTTTTTATTCATTCAATTTTATTTTTTAATTCATGAGAGCACATGACTATGATTTGGGTCCAAATTTGTTTTTAAGTTCACATCTCTTAATAATGTTGATTGGTAAACTACAAGGAAACAAACTTTCATATTTTTTTATTTCCAAATCAACATGGCATTGTAATGATTTTTTGTGTCAATTTCTTTATGATAAATTATCAATTATTTTAAGCATCTTAGGTGGAGTGGGTAATCAATTATAGGAGTTGATGATTTAGCTCAATTATTCAACATAACATACGTTAATGTCAATTCATATTAAGTGAAGTTTTTTTTTTTTTTTTTT